GCACCCCTTATATTACCCTGGATAGAGCTGGAGCCGATTCTACTAAGTGAATTATCATAAGAATGGAAAAACAAGCACCACATGTACTCACCATCAAATTGGTATTAACTGATCAATACTTATGTGCCCATATAGTAGTAATATTCACTGGTGTCAGGCAGGTGGGAAGGGAGAGGAGGGGATAGGTATATTCACATCTAATGGGTGCAGTGTGCACCATATGGGGGATGGACATGCTTGAAGCTGACTCAATGGAGTAAACACAATATAGGTAACCTAAATATTTGTACCCCTGTAATATACTGAAATAAAAAAAGGGGGGGTCAGGCCAGGTGTGCTGCTTCAAGCCTATAATCCTAACACTCTGGGAGGCCAAGGCAGGAGGATCACTTGAGGGAAGGAGTTCGAGACCAGCCTGAGCAAGAGCGAGACCCTGCCTCTACAAAAAATAGAAAAATTAGCCAGGCATGGTGGCACACACCTATAGTCCTAGCTACTTGGGCGGCTCGCCTGAGCCCAGGAATTTGAGGTTGCAGTGAACTATGATGACACTACTGCACTCTAGCCCGGGCAACAAAGTGAGACTCTGTCTCAAACTATATATTAATTAATTAATTAAAAATAAAATAAAAGGGTTAACATTTAATGGCAGGCAGAGTTATGATATGTTGTTTCTAAGGACAAAACTCATTCAACATGATTTATACCTTTTGTCCCTGGCACCTGCACTGCACCTCATCACATCTAAGATGCCATTAGATTCGCCATTATTTTTTTTGTAACACTGAGAAATAAAGAAAGCTGACAAAGTCTGACACATCACTGACTGTAAGAATGCGTCAAAATTTCAGAAATGTTCAACTGTGAGGAAAGTCTGCATCTTAAAAGTGATAAAATATGATGCTTAGAACCAAGAAGAGGTCCATGGAATAAAGAATGAAGATAATCTGATGGAGAATGACAAGGTGGGGAGGGACCACGAGAAGAGACATCTACTTCCATACAGTGATGAGGATGGGAAAGGCCTCCTTTTAGGAAGTGTTAATAACATTTAATGCAAAACTTGACGAGAGACAAAAGCCAGGCAGGTGGAGGATACTGTATGTGCAAAGGCCGGAGGTAAGAAAGAAGCCAAGAGGAGGAAAATGTGGCAAAGCGCAGAGTCTGAGGGAGAGACTGTGGTGGGCTGACATGAGAGAGGAAGTGGGCGCAGGTCTGGTAGGGCCTTGTAGGTCATGAAAGTTTTGGATTCTATTCTCTGTATTGGTTTGCTTGGGCTGCCATAACAAATACCACAAACTAGGTGGCTTACACAACAGAAATTAATTTCCTCACCATTCTGGAGGCTAGAAGTCTGAGACCAATTGTGCTGTCAGGGTTGGTTCTTAAGGCCTCTCTTCTTGGCGTGTAGATGGCTGCCTTTTCCCTGTGTCTTCACGTTCGTCTTCCCTATGTATGTCTGTGTCCTAATCTCCTCGTCTTATGATGACAGCAGTCATAATGGATTAGGTCCCACCCTAGCGACCTCATTTTACCTTATCCTCTCCTTAAATACCCCTCCTCCAAATACAGTTACATTCTGAGATAGGACTGCAAAAAGTTCATACGTTAGGAACATATATGAATTTTAAGAGGACACGATTCAGCTCACAAAAGCCTGAGAGGATTAGAAAACCACTGAAGGGTATTGAGCAAAGGAATGATAAGATTGGATCTAGGTTTTTGAAGGTCATGCTGGCTTCAGCGAGGGACAGGATGGGAAGGGGTGGGGGCAGAAGCTGAAATCCACTGAACTGTCACAGGTGTTCAGACCAGTGATGCAGGTGGTTTGGACAAGGGTAAAAGGGGTCAGACTTGAGAAACAACTTAGGGGATAGCCAAATGGCCTTCTGGTGGAGTGGTTGTGCTCCTGGTTTGAGTAATAGGGTGGATAGTGCTGCTCACTGAGTTTGGGAAGACAGGAGGAAGATGGAGCTTCCAGAACGCTCCCTGCCAAGGTGTTTTCCCTTGGGCCCTTCATGAAGACAGCAACGAACATGCCCTGAAAGGAGAAGTGCTGAGGTAAAACACCTGGCCTTACCCCATCCTTCCTGGCCTGGTCAGCATCCCCCACACCCATGATCCTAGAGGGGCATGGCCTTCCAACTGCAGTCTACAATGCAGTCCAACCTACACTGGTGAGCCTAGCTCTGGGACAGAGGGAGTGGGTTGGAAGTAAAAAGGGCAAGACCGGCCTGGTGGGGTCACGAATAGCCCACAGAGGTCCCATAGGACACAGCCATGCTAGGGCATGAGGCCAGTTACTTAGAGCAGAGGGCGAGTTTCTCCAGCCCAAGAGTTTCCTCTGTTTCCCCCAGACACACCCTGAGTGTGGGTCATCTGGGAAGCTCACTTATGGGTAGGGCCTCCTCCCCCCAACAGACTCAGTAAGGGCCCTAGAACCCCAGGTCCTAGCCACAGGCTACAGAGACAGGCTGTGAGTGAGGGGCTCCTTTCACCTCCCATGTGAGTACACAGCCCTGCTGTGGATGTCATGGCCCAAGCTGTTCCAGATGCCAGATCTTCCCTGTGGCTGTGTCTGTGCTGCCCAGTGGAGGGCCCTGGCTCTGAGTCCAGGTCTGGGCTTGGCACTGAACCCCCCTGGACTCCTTCTATCTCTAATGTGGCTAACTGTGTAGGGCTTGAGTGGCTCAGGGACAAAGGGACAGCAGGTAGTACTAAAGGAGGGAAAAGCTTGGTCTGAGCTGCCAAGCCCTGCCTTAGCTTTCAGGGGAAGGCGGAGGCTGAAGCCCAGCCCTCAGTGAGCTCATGGAACAGGAAAGGAGGCCAGGGCTCCTTCCTTAGCAAGCTTGCAAGTTGCAAGGCAGAGGAGGAAAGTACCCCTCACAATAGGGAGGAAAAACTCTCAGTCATCAGCCAAGCATACAACAGCAAATAGGGTCTATGTGGATCCAAGAAGTGCACAGGGAGGAGATCATTGTAGGACCTGAATTTCTTCAACAGTCCTTTTATTCCAAGTGAAAGATGACCCTGACTGATCTCCCATCAATTACCCTCCACAGACCAAGGGGAAATAGTTTACTTTTTGACCAACGCCCTTGACACAAGAATGAAACCAGGGCTCCTGGTGAGCCTGGGAATTCCATGAGCCTGGCCAAGGTTACCTCTCCCAGCCCATGGAATTCCAGGCTGAATACTTTCAGAGAACACCCAGGGTCTGATGCTGAAAAGCCCTGGTGCTTCTCACCAGCCTCATTCCTGGGCTCCCTCCTGACACCAGCACAATCAGGAAGGAGCTGCTCTCATTTTCTCCCCAAGTCTTCAGAACCCACAAGTCTGCTTTCTGTGCACTGGGGGGATATCACCTGCTCTGGGGATGGGGCTGTACCACATGGTTCATTAGCAAGGGACAACACACCTGAATGTGGTCACATGGGAAGGGTGGATGAAACTGAGCCCTGGCTTAAAATCCCAGTCCCCTTCCACCCTGCAAATCCATTCACCTAGTGCCATCTGATTGCCCCCATTAAGTCAGTCTATGCATCCCGATTCTGGGGATACACGAAGAATGAGGCCTTGTCCAGACCCTCCAATAATCTTTGTAGCCGCTGCATAAAAAGCTGCTGCAACCTCTCAGGACTACCCTTTTGTATAATCAGAACAATAGACTCTCAAAAGGCATGAAAATCCAGGCTAAAAGAAGGTTCTGTGGCAGCTGGAGGGAGAAGGCAGGGTCCAGTGCTCCTCTGACAAGCCCTGCTCAACCCTTGCTCACATTCCCCAAGGCACAGTAACCTTGCCCTGTCCAGCTTCCACTGGGGGCCTGGCCTTTCCTGAGACCCCAGCTGCAGTGAGAGAGGATGCGGAGCAAACAGGATACTCCAGCAAACAGGCCTAGTGAGGCCTCTTAGGGGTAGAACTGTACCCCAAAAGATACATTATCCTAGCCCCAGTGCCTCAAATGGGACCTTGTTTGTATATAGGGTTGTTAAAGACAGAGCTAAGATGAAGTAGGCTGAGCATGGTGGCTCACACCTGTAATCCTAGCACTCTAGGAGGCTGAGTCAGGAGGATCGCCGGAGCTCAGGAGTTTGAGACCAGCCTGGGCAAGAGCAAGACCCTGTCTCTACTAAAAATAGACAACAAATAGCTGGGTGTGGTGTCATGCACCTGTAGTCCCAGCTACTTAGGAGGCTGAGGCAGGAGGATTGCTTGAGTCTAGCAGTTTGAGATTGTAGTGACCTGTGATGATACCATGGCACTCTATCCAGAACAAGAGAGTGACACTCTGTCTCAAAAAAAAAAAAAAAAAAGGATGAGGTCATACTGGAGTAGAGTGGGCCCTTAATCCAATATGACTGAGGTCCTTATAAGAAAAGACACAGGGAGAAGAAAAGGCCATGTGATGACGGGTGGAGGCAGAGACTGGAGTGATGCATGTATAAGCCAAGGAACACCAAGGACTGGCAGAAGACATCAAACGCTGAAGAGGCAGAGAAGGATTCCCCCCTATGAGCTTCAGAGAGACCATGGCCCTATGGACACCTTGACCTTGAATTTCTAGCCTTCAAAGTTTCTGTTGTTTCAAGTCACCTAGTTTGTAGTACTTTGCTGTGGCAGTCCTAGGAAACTAATACAAGGACTAAACCCTCAAGCTCCTGTCACTTAGAAAGAATACCCACCCCAACACACACACACACACATACACACACACACTGCAGCTGCAGCCACTATGACCCACAATCACACTACAAATCCCTAAAATCCTTCATGAACAATCTTTCCCAGAACATGATATTGGCTGTCTTTGGATCTGAATTATGTGCCTATGTTTGATGGCAGGGAAGCTGTACTTATCATCAAACTCTCTGTGATTCAGACTGGAACTGAATTCCATCCAGCTCTGGGAACTGGAATCCAGCTTTCCTCCCCATTTCCCTTCCCACTGGTCCCAGGGAGCCAGGCTCCTCCGTTTGTAGAGAACATGAGCATTTGTGTACCTGGCACACGTTGTAGTGCTCAAAGAGAGATAAGAAGCCAATATCGCTGCGTGCAGCAATGCCCCTGAGAAGTGTGATGTTCCCGTCCCCAGAATCCAGCTCAACCACATCGTTGAAAACATTGGAAACGGCTCTCCCAGTCAGGAGCAGATTGACAAGTTCCTGTAGGTGAGAAAAAGAAGAAAGGCTTGTCAAGTCACTGCATCAGCTACTAAAAGCATGGAAGGGAGATTGGGTACAGAGAAAAGAATGGAGAAGGAAGAAAAGCAAAGAGGGAGAGAGCCTCAAATCAGGTTGTTACTTTAATTTTCCCACAAGCCCTGGTGGAAAGTTGCCAACTTTTCTCATCATAGTGACTCTCTAGGCCCCCATCCATCTTTACGCCACAAGCATTCAGTGGGCACCTACTGTGCACAGTACTCTGTCCTATGCTCTGGGTTGTTGGGAGGCTGGTAGGAGGGTGAGACATGGCTCCTGACCTGGGGCATATGTCTAGACTGGGGGGTCAGGTATGTGCCTGCACGTTGAAGCACAATGCAGGATGTGACTGGGGCTACAAAAATGGGTGCACAAAGCACTTTGGGGCCCAGATGGGTGCGAGACCACATGACCAAGTCAGGGACGCTTTGTAGAGAAGTGACATTTGGGTAGGTCTTGAAGGATGGTATTTTTTAAATAAACATTTTTATTTTGAAATAACTTTAGATTCAAAAGAAGTTATAAAAATAGTACAGAGAGTTCCTGTGTACCCTTCACCCAGCTTCCCCCAACGATAACATCTTACATAACCACTGCACATTATCTCAACCAGGAAACTGACCATGGTACAGCACCAATAACTAAACTCCAGGCCTTATTCAGACTTAACCAGTGACAGTTTTAATAGGGATGGGAGAGTGGAGGAAGGTACTTCAGGGAGCAGGAAGACTAAAGCAGGGAGGTGGAGGCAGGAAGCCCAAATCTGAGTTCTAGCTCAGTGTCTGACTTTGTCTTGCTGTGGTGCATTAGGTATTTGATGGTCCTGTGACTCACGCTGCACACCTGGCAAGCCAACAAGCATGGTGACCCTGGAAACCACAGATGGTGGCAAGCGGAGCACTGTTTCACTGAGGTCACCTTCAACCTGTACCTCCTGCATCAAGGTGGACCACTGTGGCTGGAGGGCCCCTTCCTTATGCAGGACACCCAAGGGTCAAACCTACTGTTAGAAATGGAGAAATTGAGGTTCACAGGCAAGAAAAGATTTGCACAAGCCTCACAGACAATTGATACTACAGCTGAACTTCCACCCACACCTTCTGGCTCCGTCTGATGTTGCTTCCTTCTCCCCCACCTTGTTACCCTCATGGTACCATCTGTTTAGACACAGATTCAAGATGAAGGGTGGCCTCTTAGGACTCGCTTAGGAAGGATTCCAGCGAGTCTAGCTCCAGCACTAGGACAGGCAGGTCCCTCTGTTTTGCCCACCTTCTGCCAGGGCTGGCATTGCCTGTGAGGCAAGCAGGCAGGCATCTCTCCCACGGCATGCAGGAAAGGCCAGAACAGCACTTCCCCGAGTGTAAACTCTGTAGGGTAGAGTTTATAGAAGTGTTTTCCCCTGAATTGTGAAAACGACATCCGGGGTTAATAAATCCCTCTGTTAACACCAACACCCCTGCCCCAGTGACAGTAAAAGAGGCCTCCTCTGATGGCCACAGAGGGTCCCCTATTGGAGGGAGATACCGAGGGGGGCTCATTGTGTCCTTGCAGAGGAAATGAGAAAAGAATTTGCAGGAAATGTCTGCTCTAAGATACTGCACCTCGGGGCAATGGCTGTTAAGAAAGGCACAGATTTTTTCAGGCAGGTTCGGGTTTTCCCATCAGGTTTTAAAGGGAAAAAAGAACCCTGCTCCAGAACCTAAGGTGTGTCTAAAACCTTCCTCATAGCAGGAAGCCAGCTTGAGATAGGGGAGAAGGGGCACCAGGAGCTCTCCCTGCCCCTAGACTCAAAAGCCACACAGTGGCAAAGCTTAGCAGCCATCTAATCCCTTGCTACTCAAAGTGTGGTCCATGGACCGGCAGTATTGTCCTCCCTGGGGAGCCTATTAGAAATTCAGCATCTCAGGCCCCAGCCCAGACCCACTGAATCTGAGCCTGCTGTTCAGCAAGACCCCCCAGGGGATTCATGTGCAGTTTCATATGCATTCATGTGCATTCAGTTTAAGAAGCTCTGGTTTAGTCCATATGCCTCTTCTACAAATGAGGAAACTGAAGCTCAGGGAAGATAGAAAGACTGCCCTAGCTTATTCTGTGGATAAGACAGAACGGGGCTTGGAACCCAGGCCCGCGCTCTGGTCTGACATCCTCTGCACCCTGCTTGACTGCCCGCTCCTAGGCAGCACCACGCTCAACCCTCCACAAGGAGATGTTCCCACAGAGCACACAGGCACCCAGAGTGAGAAGCGGGGCCACTCCAGGCAGCCAGAAGAGCAGCCACTCCCCGCAAGGCCTTCCTCTAAGAAGAGGTCCTGGACCACACTTTGAGTAGCAAGGGATTAGATGGCTGCTAAGCTTTGCCACTGTGTGGCTTTTGAGTCTAGGGGCAGGGAGAGCTCCTGGTGCCCCTTCTCCCCCATCTCAAGCTGGCTTCCTGCTATGAGGAAGGTTTTAGACACACCTTAGATTCTAGATTCTAGCAGCCAACCCCACAGTCCCTCTATGGGTGCTCTGGACAAGCCACGGGCCCCAAGCTAGCTGCCACATGCTGCCCAGGTAGTGAGCCAGGACCCCCAGGACAACTGGGTCCTCAGTTGAGCCTGGAAGACTGTGCAGCTCTGTCCAGCCTAACCACGCTACACATTTTGGCCCCTCTATCCACGGAGAGTCAGATTTCCCTGTGGCCTATATGGCCACTCTGGGAGGCCATGACAGGGAGAGAAAGGCATGGAAAGAGATGAGATGTACGATTTAGCTCTCAGTTTTGATGCTCACTAGACAGCATCTTTAACAGGTCCCTTCCCTGGTGTCACCTGGGTGACTGGGAGGGTCGATGTGTTCAGGGTCTTCCCTGCCCCTATGAAACCACTGGAGGGCCCCTTTGTGAAGATGCAGTGGAAAGGCCTGCTGTAAAGACAACATCCTGTGCAAACATAAAGGGTGTCAGAGCTGTCGTCTCGCTAAGTGGACCCAGGGTCCCCCAGCCCATGCCTGGGGCATCGCTTCCCACATCCTGGACTACAGGCTATACAGCACTTGGTTGGGCATCAGCCTCTTTTGCATCCCCGTAGCCTTGAGCACATGGGCAGTGTGTAGCAAGCTCTCCAGAAACAGAAGCTAAACTGTTTTCTTCCTAGGTCTCCACAACATGCTGGTGGAGCCTACCATAGGTGGGAAGGTAAAAGCAACTTGGAGGGTGTTGGCAGCAGCTAAGAAAGGAGGGAGGAACAGAAGAAGGGGAAGAACCACCTGCTGCCCCTGGGCCCCATGGTGCCCCCTGACCTGTGTGCAGTACCCGTGTGCTCCAATCAGGTAGTTGGTGGGAACATCAAAGTCCTGGTGGACGCTGGAAAACACAAGAAGCAGCAGTGTTAGTATATCTCTGCCCAATCAGGCCATATGGACAGCCCTTACCGGGTGACCTGGCACTCCCCTCAGGATCCCGGTTGAGGCCCAGGATTCCAGATTTGGTGGGAACCTGAGTGCTGTGTATCGGCGCCCTCCTAGAGGAGGCTCCCACCCAGAAGGATGGAGGATGGGGCCCAGGCCACCTTTAGTAGAGCTCACTGCACTCTCTGGCCTCACCAGTCTTCTGTCCACACCGAGGAACAGTAACTGGGTGTGACACGGCTGGCAGCCCCTGGGTTTGGAATCCAACGTCCTGAATTCATGTCCTACCTGTTGCTACCAATGGGGGGACCGGGGAATCCTCTTCTATCTCTGGGCCTCAGTCTGCCAGTCTGTTAAATGGGAGGAATGGACTCTAATGCTGCCTTGAATTCTAAAATAATAGCTGCCACCGCCTGAGCACAGCTTTTTTTTTTTTATTTTATTTTTATTTTTTTTCTCCAGGCAGTGTGCACACATTATTCCACAAAACCTTGTAAGAAAACCCAGACTCAGAGAAGGGACAGCCTAGCCTAAGGGTGTTCAGTTCATGGGTGATGGGGATGGCAGGGGACTCGGGCCAGCCAGTCTCTGAGGCCTATATCCTCCCAAGGTTACCACTGTGGCTCCACCCTTGGAATGGGGTCCCTCAAAAGGCACATGCTGAAAAGATCCTTTGCCAGAAGAAATTGTTCAAACTTAAGGCAATGGATTTCTAGGGCAGTGCTAAGGACCAGAATAATTTAGGGTATCCCAGTCAGCAGGGGCTCTGTCACATGGAGAGGTGAGGTGATAAGAACCAGAAGGCAAAAAGTCCTTCCTAAGTCTCACACCCTCCTTCCTGGCTTGTTGCTATGCTGGAAAGTCCACTCTCAGGATGGTTTTCCTTTTAGTTACCCCAAAGCAAATTCCTCTGGGAGACGAAAGCATTGTTGGCAAACAGAGCCCTGTTAGGAATGGACAGTGAAGGAGCTACTCTCTATTCACCATGCACAATGGAGACAATTTCAACCCTCCAGTCCCCCTACCTGCCAACAAAGTGCGCATTGTTATCTCTATTTCATAGGTGTGCAAAGAAGCTCAGAGAGGCGGGTCAGCACAGCACACAACTCTGGGGGCACACAGCTCTGGGGTAGTACATGTCCTGGGAACAGAACACATGCAGTCCTGGGGGACACATGCCCTGGGCACACATGGGAGTGTCACATGCCCTGGGTGGGGCACATGCTCTGGGGGCACACCACCCACCCAGCACTGTGCCCAGGGCCTGGCCGCCTTCCTTCATCCATGCTGCAAAGAGAGAGGCCAGGTGTAGGACTTAGAGAGGTGTCCTAGGGGTACAAAGGGCTTGGCAATCAGAACATTTATTTTTCCTTTTAGTGAAAGAGAAGAGAAATATGGTCTTGATTTATGCTTTAAATCTAAGATCTGCCTTAAGCCCACAGACCTAAACCACATGCCCTGGTCCCTGTCTCCTTCCAAAATAAGTTAGGAAATTCAAGCTCTATGATACTTGCAGGGAAAGCTTTCTTGTGGTTTTTAATAAACCATGGCCAAACAGGGAAGGTTTATGTCCAAATGAGAAGACAGGCTGGGGTTAGCATCATTGGGGCCGCAGTGAACCCCTAAGGCTTGGGGTCCTCTGGGAAGGGCTTTGAGGCTTGCCCACCACAGACAGTCCAGCCGGTCTGACAGGGAGCCAATGGGGAATGACTCACGGCACAGCACAGCGCTCAGCTGGCGCTAGCTCAGGCAGAAGAATTGATGGAAACGTTCTCCGCAGCATATACAAGCATCTTCTGAAGAGAAGAAAATAACCTCAAAGGAGTCCTGAGGGTACCGATAAGCATCACTGGCCCCAAGCCACCCGAAGCTTTCAGAAGCAGTACGATCTTCATAAGCTCACAGCCTCGTGTTCACCCAGCGGGCTTGAGAGCCTGCGTCAGCTGGGAGCAGAGGGACAAGCAGAAAGGACAATGGGAGGAAATGGTAATTGCATCCTTAGGTGCAAACACGATGGGAAATTCAGAAGTGCACTGGGATCTTAAAAGGGAAGAACATCTGTATTTCACATTAGGGCATTCAGGAGACGCCAAGGAGCGGCTTATGGCTTAAGAGATTTACAACTTTGGCAAATCTAGATGCCCAGACCTCCCTCTAGGGGAATTCCCTGGAGAACTGAGTGTGAAGAGTCCTTGAGCAGGGGAACAACAGCTTGGCTCTACCCGGAGAGAAGGCAATTCACATGGCAGGGCTGTCACCAGACCCAGGTTCTACCCCCAGCCTGCCGTGCGGCTGCAAACCTCACTCCTCTGTGGGCCTCTGTCTCTCCTTCTGGAACACAAGGATCTCGGACAAGATGAGAGGTGTAAGGGGCTGAACTGTGTCCCCCCCCAAAGGTCACATGTTGAAATCCTAACCCTTAGTACCTCAGAATGTGTATTTGCAAATAGAGCCTTTTAAGGGTAGTTAAGTTAAAATGAGGCCATTAGGGTGGGCTTTAATTTAATCTGACTGGTGTCCTTGTTTATAAGAAGAGGAAACTTGGACTCAAAGAGACACCAGTGACGCATACTCACAGGGGAAAGACCATATTAGGATGCAGCAAAAAGGCGGCCACCTGCAAGCCCAGGAAAGAGGCCTCAGAAGACAACAACCCTGTTGGCACCTTGATCTTGGACTTCTAGCCTCCAGAACCATGAGAAATAAGTGTTTGTTGGTCAAGCCCTGTCTGTAGTGCTTTGTTATGGCAGCCCCTAAGAAACTAATGCAAGGAGCCTCCAACATTTTATAGACTCAAAGCCTATCCTTCAAATGAAATCTGATATGCAGAAGCCCACTATGAAACATAAGAGCAGAGCTGCTCTAGCTGAAGGCAGTGTGGGGGCTTGTCCCATCTTTCTGTTCTGCATCAGCCCCTGTGGCCCCCTCCAGGAGACCCCTGGGTCTCCAAGGACACACAACACCCCAGGAGCAGGGGCCCCTGAGCTCTCGGGTTCCTATCCATGATGGGCTTCTGAGCCACAAGCCAAGACTCTCTCTTCCCCAGGACTGACTTAGAACCATGCAATCTAATGAGTGGGCTGTCTCTTCCATGGTCCTCCTGGAACCATGTCCTGGGGGCTGGACAGCCCTGGGCCTCGGAGCATCCTGCAAAGCCTAGGAACTGGGCACCAAGCTGGATGACAGGAACCAGGAGGGGGACCCAGGACCAGAGGAAATGTGGCCCTGGAAGCTGTCTGCACTGGGGAGCAGAGCTTGCCAGGATTTCAGTCTAAGAAGCATAGAGTGAAGGAAGCTTGAGTGGACTTGACCAGGGATTGGAAACTCATGAGAAGGGGCTGGCCCTGACTGCCCTGCCACCGACCTCCTCAGCATTCTAGGAGCAAAGGGCCAGGGTGATAATCCAGCCTTGGGGTGTCTGGGTTATACAGTGACAGAAGAGGGGGAACAGAGAGCTCTGCCCAGGATGCCAGCAAGGATCAAACCTCTCAACTCTGTCCACTATTAGGAGGTCCCTGAGACACTGCACTATACCAAGAAACAGAACAAAGGGGACATCAGGGCTGGGAGAGCTTGCAGTGCTCCTCATTTTGCAGATGGGAAGATGAATGCCCAGAGAGATAAGACAACTGGCCAAGGGCTAGTGACCAACATTGGCCCAGATTTAGGGCTTATAGCTGGGCCTGGATCTCTGCTGCCTCTCTCCACCCACTCTTTGTCACACATCTCAGAGGGGGCAGGGGCTCTGCCACTGAGCAGCTGACAACGCATAAGCCTCGAATCTGTAAAGTCTTAGACACTTTCAAACATAGCTTTCTCCTGAAAGCCTTGTGAGGCCAAGAGAACAAGACCACTGCTTCCATTTTACTGATGGGGAAACCAAGGCCCCAAGAGAAGGGACTTGTGGTTTTGTAATCACACTAAGTCAACAGGGCCAGGACTGTGTCCCCAGCACCAACATCACATAGTGTCTGCCGTGGCCTGAAATGTGATGGTCAGCCAGCCAGGTCCAGGCAGGCCAGGGAGCCCTGAGGCCCACCCCAGTTCCCATCAGCCCCAGTGCAGCTTGTCCCTTCACCTAAAGGCCTTCCCAGGTGAACCTGGGCATCTGGAACAGAAGTTTCTGAGTAAGAAGGAAAATAGTCAAAGTAGCCTAGAGACATGGTCCCAGTCTATACATCATAGCTCTTCACCGGAAACCAACACCTACTCAGCCCCTAACTGGCAAATAACTTTGGGTGAGTCCCTATCTCTCTCTCAGCCTGTGTTCTCATTTCTAAAACCGGAGGACTGGAGCAAGAAATCTCTAGGGACCTCCTGGGATGTGAACAAGTATGTCTAGTCCATGACTCTGCTGTTCAAACATCAAGCCTAAAATAGGCAGTAATTCACCTGGGAGGACCTGACCAGTCACCCCTCCCCTACCTGACCACAAGGGCAACAGGACCTGAAGGAGCCACATCCCACTGGGCCAGCTCCTGCCCGTCCCTTCCAGAGACTGCACCCTCACATGCAGTGTGACCTGCACTTCCCCCACCCACCTGCAGAGATAATAGCCTTCAGACCTTCAGAGATAATAGCCCTTTGGTGGGACTTCTATTGACTTTTCAGGACAACATCAATAGTGAAAGGGTAGCTGTGGTACAACTAAGAGAACCTGGGCTCTAAAGTCTGGGAGCCCTGGGTTCAAATCCAAGTGCTGCCACTTACAAGTTATTTCCCTCTGTTGGCCTCAGTTTCCCCACTTGCAATACAGATGATGATGCATGCTGCCTTCTATTAAAGATTGCTGTGGGAACTGAATGAGATGAACTATATAAAGCATTTGGCCTTCAGTAAATGTCACTTCCTTTTTCCTATTATAACAACAATAATAAAAAAAAAAAAAGCAAAAAACAATGACTGAGAGGTCATGATTCCCGCAATCTCAGCCATCCGTATCATGGCCAAGAACTCAGAATAAACTGAGACCTCCAGGCAGTCAAAATATAGCTGTGAAGTATATATCTGAAAAGGACTGGATAGAGTAGACTATTTTCCCAGGAAGGCCAAGAAGGAGTGGACAATGAGTCAGAACAAACAGGTGTCAGGCCCCCTCTGCCACCCGTGCTGTGTGACCTTTAGCAAACTGCTTTGTATCTCTGAGCCTCCAGTGTGTCATCTCCTCATGGGGATAGCAATAACCACCTCAATAAGGGCACTAGCAATAAGGGACTAGGCCATAAAAAGGCCTTGCAAACTGCAGAGTTCCATGGGCTAGAGGGATCAGTGATGTTTCCATTCTTCAGGCAGTGAGGAAGGGGCTAGGATGGGATCCAGGAGGCAGGGGAAGCTGATGGAAGGCTCTGCAGGATGGAGAAAGAGGGGACCTGCCTGGAAGAAGGAAGAGAAAGCAGGAGCCCAGCCCCTCAGGAGCTGGGCAAAGCCCTTCCGAAGCCATCTTCTGCCTTGCCTCCCACCATCTCCCCCCACCATGGCCAGCACCTTCTCTGCCAACCAGACCCCAGGGGCCTTTGCCCACTTTGCTCTTGCTGCCTGCCAAAACCCTTCCTGCCCATCCCTCGGAGCCCTGCCAAATGTTACCTCCTCCATAACCTCCCCACCCCAGGGATAGAAATGCCCCATCACTCCTCTCTTCCTTCCTTCCCTTCCTAAGGGCACCCACCAACAGATTCTCGTGTGCCTGCCTCAAAAAACTGACTTTGAGAGCTAGAACTGGGCTCTAGACCCTGCAGCTGCATAGCAATTGTGCCTCCTAAATTACATGAGCCTGTCCACACCTATTCCAGGTGAAGCTGTGTGTGAGGAAGGCCCTGGTGGATCAGCTTCCTGAATCTGGATCCCAGGTGAATGGGAGGCTAGCCTAACACAGAAGACTCTTTCAATAAGGCCTGTACCCTTTATCTGGGTACCTAAGCCCTTCATGATCCAGGAGGTATGGTACCTGGGTGACAGGGTAGGGGTAGGAGACACACACGGAACCAAGGGTCAGAAGACCTTTCACTCCGCCACCAACCCCAGTGTGTCCTGGGCCTAGACCCCCTTCTCTGCTGTAGGAGGTGGACCTCTCCCATCCAGCCCACAGACTTGGTGTCCACAGGCAAAATGACCGCTCTCACAGCTCATTGGCTGTGACATGGCATCTCAGCAGCTGGGGGACCTGGCCCAGGCAGAGTTGGCTTGCTTTAGCCTAGATCATGGCAGCCAAACTCAGATGGAGGATGAGGCAGATGGCCATCCAGTTTGGTATGAACCTACCATGGGGCCTCATTTTCCCACTTCTCCAAGTCAGCAAACACAGCCAAGCAGACCTGTCACTACCTCCCAGCCTAAGGAATGTGAGACAGGCACAGGGTCTTGCACTGATAGTCAGGAGACTCGGCGATGCTGTCAGCTGTGCCACTAACTCACCTTCACATCTCAAAGTCCCCACGACTATAATGAGATGATAGCCCCAGGCCTGTGGGCCTGTCCTTCGAGCTGCCACAAGACCACCAAGGCCCCGAGTGGCAGCAAGGACCCTCTCCCTCTCTCTTCCACCTCCAGCCAAGCCTCCAAACTTGGCCTTCCTCAGGGTCAGGGTGTCTCACAGGGTACCCACAGGAAGCCAAGCAGAGATCTACAGGACAGATCTCTGTTACCTGTGGGGAGCCCTGGGGGCAGAGGGGCAGCTGGCTGCCAGGGAAGGGACCAGGGAGAGAAAACATCAGTGAAAGGGAGTGGAGTCTGGGTGGAGTGTCCACTATTTCCAATGGCACAGGTGCCCACAAGCCCTTTGGGTACACCTTCCACCCCA